CTCTGAAACATGCTACAGATGCTCGCACCAAATTGCCCAGATCAATAATTTAGAGGAATGTCAGAGGATAGGAGAAATGTGCGTTACAGGAAAGCTCCGTGCTGCTGGGGCAAGTAGGAAGCTGGGAGCTGGGGCTATAGAGCTCCACGTGCAGCTCCTCACCCTAGATGCCTGCCCTGGAAAAGATGGGGAGGTGGCTTTAGAGCTTAGGGAGCAAGGATGGGGTTCAACTCTGGAGAAAGGGGTGGCTTTGGAAATGCCAAGAGGAGAAGGTGAAACTGCCACCCTAGGCAAATGCACACAACGTTTTTCCATCTCTCAAGACACTTTATCTTTCTAGTCAAGGAAGTGAGGGGAAGGTGTTTGCTTCAGCCACAGGAAGAGGGATCTCCATGCTGTCATGGTTGCTGGGAAAGATGAGGGAGAGAAAGGTGGCAGTGTACGGAGGCACCAGGTCAGAAAAACAGGAGAGAATTCAGACAGGACCAAGACAGCCAGAGAAAATAGAAAGAAAGGATAAAGAAGACAGAAACAAAACAAAACAAAACATGAGAAGTGAAAGCCTGGGAAATAGATACAAGACAAGAAAGAGAAATAGAAACCAAGAACAAGATTGATGCAAGGAAGAGAACAAAAAGTAGAAGGAAAAAGAGTAAGAAAGATTCCAGACCCACATTCAAATGATCCTAAATGGGGATGAGCAGAAAGACAGGGAGACCAAAAGAAAAGGGTGCGGGGGCGGGGTGGGGAAGAGAAAGAAAGGAAGGGAAAAAGAAACAAAAGGTGAATGTCCTGCACTGTCTGTCTGGTCCAACCAAGAAGCTAGTGTCTGCTCTGGAGGGAGGAAAGGTGGTGGAGCCCAGCCTGTCTCCAAGCGACTGACAGGCAGCCTCTGGACCAGAGAGGAACTACGCTGTCAAAGCAAGCTTTGGGGAGGAGGAGGGGGTGGGGGTTCATGGTGAGTGGAGACTCGTGGAGGAAGAGCAAGCCTCCACTGGGTTCAGCACTGCCAGGGGGAGAGTCAGGGTTCCGGGTAGCACAGCAGTGCTAATGTATGTACCCCAGAGGGGTAGGGGGTGCTAGGGCAATTTGCAGGAGGAACCACAAACAGTAAACTAGATACTCCCCAGAGAGCTACTTCCTTGGGATCCGTGATAAGAAAATCACTTCCTCAGGTGGGAGAACTGAGCCCGAAAGAGAATGAGAGCCCTAGGGGGGCAGGCACCTGGTCAGTTTCAAAGCTTGTCAATATCAAAAGAGGCTGGGATCCTGAGATCAAATGAACTGGGGCACTGGGCAGAAACGAGAAGCCATTGCCAAACTGCCAGGATGACCAGAAAGCCCCTCCCCCAGGAAAAGTTCATACATGAACCCACCCCTGTACGAAACTTCTTAATTAGGTCTCCTACCCCCGGAGAATCTTGGATGCCCTTCTGTCAACAGAATTCCCAATTTAGTGACACCTCGGACTGAAAAGAGCTCTGCGGCAAACGGGGGTGAAAGTTTAAGAGGGAATAAGCATGTAATAGTCTCTTGCCAGACCTCACACATGCTGAAGGGAATATTTACAGCAAACTGGCCAAAGTAAACGACCCCGCCTACCCACCATCCTTTTCCCCTCCTCCCCGCCTTTTTTGTAAACTTCAGATAAACACCATTTGATCACAAAAGGGTCGGTTTGTCCCCTTTATAGTTTGAGGCAGGCAGTGCGGCAGGGAAAAGTGGTGCGGGCTAAGCTTCCGTCTCGGGCAAGGCCAGCTTCTTTGCTGGCACCGTGGCCTGGGCTAAGGACAGTTGATTTGGTTTTGTTCCCCTCACCCCCACCCGACCCCACCCCCACAAACGAACATTATTTTCGGGGTCCTCCCCCCACCCACCTTTAACACTCGCCTACATGCACTCACACTACTTTAAATGCTGCAGGCATTGCAGATAGAGAGGTTTTTCAGTTAATTTACTTTTTTAATTCCAGACCTACAATTAAATGAAAACTCTTTTTGCGAAAAGGTGGAGGAATATTTCAGAGACACCAGAAATTATCTGGGTCTTTTCTGACCCGAAATCTGCCCTCTTTCTCCCTTCTCCTGCCCTTAAGTCACCCTCTTCTTGGACTCTGTTAAAGGGCAGGCTCTTTCAACGTCTCTAGTCTGTCTTTTGTTGAGTGTTAAGACCGAAGGAAAGAGGATCGAGGGGTCTGCAGAGAGAAAAAGACCGCGGAGAGCCGGCAGCTGGCGCCTAATGCCGGGGTCCGGGGCGCGCTGGCCTCGTGGGTTCTCCCGGAGGCCAGGCCCAGCACAAGCCTTCTGAACACGCTGGCCAATGTTTAACCCGAATGCAGTGGCCACCAGGCCGCTTTTGTTTGTTCGCAAATTAATCACCCAGCGCATGGCCGGCGCCAGAGTGGGTTTATCACCCACCGGGAGGGGGGCGCGCCGGGCACGCAGAGACAAAGAGGAGTTCGCACCTTCCCGCTTTTGATCCCAGAATTACGGCGGCCTCCCTGCCTAATACGAGCCTCCTGGGGCCGAGTCTGGGAGGTCAGTCATAATTGGCGGAAGTTTGCAGACCATTAGCAAGATGTCGACATTTTCGATTCGAACCCCGCAAACTTTCCTCTCGTTCTCTGCTTCGCGCGCTGGAGGTGGGGGTGGGGGAGGACATGAGGGTCAGAAGTAGTGATCTGGGGTGCTCCCAGGGTTAAGTTAGAGCTATGGGCAAAAAATAGGCAATTGAGGGAGGAGGACAGTGTGAGGGGCAGAACTCCCTCTCAGTCCACCCGCGGAGCCAAAAACAAGTCGAGACATTTTTTAGTAAAATCCGCAAGCTCCCCTCCCATTTCCAAAGCAGACAGCTGGCCAATGCGGAGGAATGTCTCCCTGCTGTGCGTGGGACGCTTGGGGGCACCGAGTGGGTGAGGAGGGGGTCGGTCACAGTGTGGTTGTAGAACTACTTTGCTTCCACTCCAAGTGGTGGGGCAGAGACTGGCCTGCGAGGGCAGGCAGGCAAAACCAGATCGCTGGGATTTGGGGCCGCTCTTGAAAGTGCAGCGAAGCGGCCCCAGGCCCCGGAGGCGAGCAGTGTGGGGGAGAGGGATGCACTTTTTTTTCTATCTTTTTTTGGGGGATCCCCAGAGATTCATGAAACCCTGCAGTGACCTCCGTGTTCTGTATAAGGCGGGGAATGGCCTGGCCTTTCGCACCCTTCAGGGCGGGGCGGAGGGGATGCGGGAGAGGGTGTTATGAGCCAACACTCTAGGGTCCACCACCTCATTTTTTTCCCCTGTCTCTCCTTTCTGTATTTTAACCACTGGCAGAGACAGACAGAGAGGACGCCAGAGAAAGACACACTGAAAGGGAAAGAAAGGGGCGAGATGGCGAGCCAGACGGAGTTCGCAGAACCACTCTGTTCTCTCTGGTGACTTCAGGGAATTCTCAACGCTGGCGCCAAACTCTCTTAACCATGTGCGTCAAAAATGCGAGGCTGGAGAAGCTTGCCGCCTCAAAAGGTCCACCCCTATCTCAGCGTGGTTGGCCCACAAGAGCACTTCATTTTCACTCGTCTCTTGCTGCCACGTTGGGGTTTCGGAGTTGCTGGGAGTTGCGGGGGTGCACAAGGCAAAATGCGAGAGAGGCCTGCGCTGGCCTGCAGAGACTCACACATCCAAAGCCAGGGGTCTCTGAAACCCCTAAGCCCCCAGATCAGCCCTTTCTCCGTTCCCTTTCCATCGAAGAAGCTTTCATCTCAGGAAAGATAAAAGAACATTGTTTTCAAGATTTCCCTCCATCTAAGCAAGGATGGTCCAAGTCATTGGCCCCCAGAATCAAGAACTGTGGGCTTAGGCGAATCCTCTGACCCCGACCGGGCGCTGCGGTAACAGAGTTAGTAATTCGGCGATTGGTAAGATCCGGTCGTTTCCCTCTTGTCCGCCCAAGAGGAGGCCCCCACCCTACCCGTACTGAAAACAGTCATCTCGCCTCTGAGGTGGGGGCGTTTCACGGTTTGTTTTACAAACTCAGCCTCCCTCCCCGACTTCTGGCGAGATAAGTCTCCGGGGTGGAGAAAGAACTGAGGCACCGAGAGATAAGTGCGATGCCTAGAGAAGATACCAGGCTGGCGCGCCTCCCCCAACCCACTCGCCCACCCCTTACCCTCTGCTGTGCTCCCAGCCGGGCCTCGAGGTGAGGGCAGCGGCTTGGAAGGGACAGGCTCAGAACCCAGTCCCTCGCTGTGCTCGCTTTGTCCAGATCCTCCATTCTCTTCTCTACACCCACACCCACATCCAGGTGGAATATGGGGGCCCGCATGCAAATGAAAGACGAGATCCAAAAGGGCCGGGTAAATGCATTTCGTAAAAATCCTAAGTCCATCTTCCCCAGGAGCTCAGACAGGGTCAGCCGCGCAGGCTGTGTACGTGTTTGTGTGTACGTGTTTTTCGGTGTGTGGTTCAGTCCCACTGTGTTGGTGCGTGTTCGAGTACAGATGCACTGGGGGTGTTTGGGTCTCCGCACATGGCTGCAGGTGGGGCACAGTGGAGAGGAAGCCCACACATCCGTGTGCTCCCCTAGCCCAGATGCAGGGGAGACCAGCACCGAGACACCCGAGCCCGGGAGCCCTTTAGCGGCGGCCAGGCGGAGCTTGGCTCCACGTGGGGCTGGAGAGCACTCAAGCCTGTAGTCTCGGCGCTCGCCTCTCCGCAGCCGCCGGCTTTTGTAGAACCGAGCAGCCGGATAGCAGCTCGCGGGGAGGCTCGGCCACCCGCCCGGCTCGCCTGGGGCCGGGAGAAGGAGAGCTGGAGAGAGTACCGGCTGCGGCGGTCGGAGAGGCGAGCGGAGTGCAAGAGAGGCGAGCGCCCCTGCCCGGCGCCCGGGCGCGCTCTCCGCCTTCCCCTCCCGGCTCGCCTGCTCGCTGATTCCCTCCCTCTCTCCCTCCCTCTTCCTCCTTGGCCCTGCCTCCTCCCTCGATCCCCGGCTGGATGACTGAGGCATTTCAGACGTGGGCTGAACCAGAGCGAGCGAGCTCAGGGGCTGCAGCGATCTCTCGATAAGCCACCTAGAGGCGACTCTGTGCGCGCGCTCCCCAGTGGCTCCCGCCCTCCCTCTGATCATGTTGACATATTCACAGGACAGGCAGTAGTACCGATGCGGCGCTGCGACGTTACAGTTTCCGACACCTTCTTTTTATAACTCAGCTCTATCCCCCAGCACTCGACCTGTGAAAACCACGCCTATGCAGCAACACAATTGGTCCGAAAGCGTCAAAGAGCCAATCAAGAGGCCTCCGGCTCCCCGCAGCCCACAGCGCAGCCCGACCTTCTAGAGCCGCCGAGCAGACGCCCGGTGAATTCTAGAGGCGGCGGAGGGTGGCGAGGAGCTCTCGCTTTCTCTCGCTCCCTCCCTCGCTCCCTCCCTCTCCGACTCCGTCTCTCACTCTCTCTCTCTCCCTCCCCCTCTCTCTTTCCCTCCGTTCCATTTTTTCCCCCTCTAAATCCTCCCTGCCCTGCGCGCCTGGACACAGATTTAGGAAGCGAATTCGCTCACGTTTTAGGACAAGGAAGAGAGAGAGGCACGGGAGAAGAGCCCAGCAAGATTTGGATTGAAACTGAGACACCCTCCGGAGGCTCGGAGCAGAGGAAGGAGGAGGAGGGCGAACGGAAGCCAGTTTGCAGTTCAAGTTTTGATAGCGCTGGTAGAAGGGGGTTTAAATCAGATTTTTTTTTTTTTAAAGGAGAGAGACTTTTTCCGCTCTCTCGCTCCCTGTTAAAGCCGGGTCTAGCACAGCTGCAGACGCCACCAGCGAGAAAGAGGGAGAGGAAGAGAGATAGGGGGCGGGGGAAGAAGAAAAGAAAGGTAAAAAGTCTTCTAGGAGAACCTTTCACATTTGCAACAAAGGACCTAGGGGCTGGAGAGAGATTCCTGGGACGCAGGGCTGGAGTGTCTATTTCGAGCTCAGCGGCAGGGCTCGGGCGCGAGTCGAGACCCTGCTCGCTTCTCTCGCTTCTGAAACTGACTTTCAGGAGCGGCTTTTTAAAAACGCAAGGCACAAGGACGGTCACCCGCGCGACTATGTTTGCTGATTTTTCGCCTTGCCCTCTTTAAAAGCGGCCTCCCCTTCTCCAAAAGACAACTTTCCTTCCTCCCTTTGAAGTGCATTAGTTGTGATTTCTGCCTCCTTTTATTTTTTCTTTCTTTTTTTCTTTTTTGTTTTGTTTTCCCCCCCCTTTTGAACTATGTGCTGCTGTTAACAACAACAACAACAAAAACAACAAAACACAGCAGCTGCAGACTTGTCCCCGGCTGGAGCCCAGCGCCCCGCCTGGAGTGGATGAGCCTCTCCATGAGAGATCCGGTCATTCCTGGGACAAGCATGGCCTACCATCCGTTCCTACCTCACCGGGCGCCGGACTTCGCCATGAGCGCGGTGCTGGGTCACCAGCCGCCGTTCTTCCCCGCGCTGACGCTGCCTCCCAACGGCGCGGCGGCGCTCTCGCTGCCGGGCGCCCTGGCCAAGCCGATCATGGATCAATTGGTGGGGGCGGCTGAGACCGGCATCCCGTTCTCCTCCCTGGGGCCCCAGGCGCATCTGAGGCCTTTGAAGACCATGGAGCCCGAAGAAGAGGTGGAGGACGACCCCAAGGTGCACCTGGAGGCTAAAGAACTTTGGGATCAGTTTCACAAGCGGGGCACCGAGATGGTCATTACCAAGTCGGGAAGGTAAGCAGTGGGGGCCTCCTCCCCTAAGCTGCTGGATAGTTTTATCCTCCCTTTATCTCTCTGCTCCCAGAACAGTCGGTTGGTCGGTTATTACGGCTTGGACGAAAAGTTAGTTCCCATAGAAATATGTGCACAGACTTCCAGGCCCTGCCCCAGTGGCAGGAAATTTCAGCTTACCTGGGCATCTGCACGGGTCTTATATTTGGTCTGCATCGTGGGTTCCCTCCCCAACAGACAATTTTTCAATGGAGCGTAGATATCCCTGCAGGGAGCAGGAAAAAAAAAAAAAAAGGCACTCTACTGCAAGAAATGCACTCTGCAAACCCTCCTGGAACATCCTTATTTCTTTGTTGATGTTGTGTTGTCTGTTTTATTTTGTTCTCCAGAAAGAAAAACTTAAAGCCCTCTCCTTTTGTGTGGGTAGCGGGAGGCCTGACACCAGTCCCCGGCCCTTTCTGCCCTCCAGTCTAGCCTCTGGGTCTAAAGGGGCCTGCTGCTGCCCTGGTCAGAGAGAAATCGAAGGGCATTTTGGTTTGTTTGCCCACACCACTTCACGTGTCTGTAACCCAAGGGCGAGTTCAGCAGGCAATTTTGCATAATTTAAGATTGTGTTTGCAGACTGAAGGAGCCAGTGAGGAGACACACACTGCTTTTTTAATGTGTGAATATTATCAACCATATTTTACGTAATATTTAAAGGTCCTTGCCTGACCAAAACCTGCCTGGAAGAGAAGATCCTGTAACAGTCATTTAAAAACACTGATTTTTTAAAATAGCATTGAAGCCTGTAAAGGCATAAAGTTAAAAAGATAAAAATAAAATCCCCTTCATGATATCTTAAGCATTCTGTCTCCTTCCAAGCTAAATGAGGCCAAAGTTTGGCATAAAATCCTCAAACCCACAAGACATTTAGTCAGTTTTCCAGCGAAGTGCTTCCTTGCTTCCTTTTAAGTCAAGACTACAGAATGCCAACATTTCTGTGAAATTAACAGCAATGTGGTGGCACAATCTTGCACTTTTGGACTGGCCTAAGGAGTGGGGGAATGTGTTAGCAGCTCCATGGGCAGATAGGTTATCAGGCCAGGGAGTGCACGGAAATCTGCAAAATTCGTTCTGCGAACTCACTGATGACCAGTTTCACTTCGCCCACAGCGGGATTGCTATTCTACAGCAGGGAGGGGTGCAACTTGACGTTCATTTCCTTGATAAGTTTAACATTTTCTCATCAATGGGTAGTGGAAAATTCTAGTCTTAACTGACCGCGCTTTACTAAAATCTTACCCCAACCTGTTTAGAACTAGATACCCACAGAAAAAGACATGGGCAAGAATTTGCTATCAGGAGGGCAATCTGTAAAGTCATACAAGGAAAAAAAAATATTGAAGAAATTGTTAGACAATGTAGAGAAATGCAGTGCCACAATGCATTTGTTTTGAACCTTGGGACATCTAAATATGGAGAAACTGAGAATATTTAATATATTAATTGTGGAAGAAAACAATTTTGCAGCCAGTTGCCTCACTCTGAAACATATAAGCTTATCAGTCACAATAGAAAGTCTTAAACTTGGTTTCAATATTATATGATACATAGGAAATCAAACCCAAGATTATGGGTGGTTTATCTTTCTTTTTTCTTTTCTAATCTTTCCTTTTATAGGCGAATGTTTCCTCCATTTAAAGTGAGATGTTCTGGGCTGGATAAAAAAGCTAAATATATTTTATTGATGGACATTATAGCTGCTGATGACTGTCGTTATAAATTTCACAATTCTCGGTGGATGGTGGCTGGTAAGGCTGACCCTGAAATGCCAAAGAGGATGTACATTCACCCGGACAGCCCCGCTACTGGGGAACAGTGGATGTCCAAAGTCGTCACTTTCCACAAACTGAAACTCACCAACAACATTTCAGACAAACATGGATTTGTAAGTTTCATTGCTCTCTTCAGTAAAATTTTCTCCTTCTTCACTCAGTCAAAGGCAGTGCTTCCCCATTTCATGAGTTTCAGCCCAGACTTCTCCTTTGCTTCTCCCTGAGCATAGCAAACTTGTCCTTGTCCGGAAAAAGGATTCGGGGTGTTTCTCTCCGGATAATGGAAGACCTGGCGTTCTAAAAGAAATGGGGCAAGAAAACTTACTGGCTTGTGTTCTATAGCAATTCCAGCTCTTTGGTAGATGCCTGACCTGAGAGTGAAGTTAAAAACCATTTTTTAAGAGCTAAAATCAATTTCAAGGCTATGTATTCATAAAGGATTTGTTTTGTTTTAAAATATCATTCTTCTGTTTTGAAACCAGCCATATTATTTTCTTGGGAAAGTTTACGTTTTGGAGACTTGACTCTGTTGGTTAAATGGTGTGAATACATTTTTAAAAACTCGTTCTTTTACTAAAAAAAGAAGTGGGCTTAGGTGAGAGTCAGGCTTACGCTAAACGAGGCTTAGATCTTCAGAAAAAAATGGTTTGTGTGTTGGGAGTGTATATATGGATTCAGTGAGAGTGCTTAGAAACTTAGAAAACTTGGATTGCTTGTAGAAATCAGGCAAAGGACCTTTTGCGCCTTTTCCTACCCCTCCCCAACATTTCAATAAAATAAACAGAGTGATAAGCAAGGAGTAAGCAGAAAGATTAGGCCCAGGAAGACGCGAATGGCGCGGAAATATCTTCAGCGGGCAGGAATTGCATTTGAAGCCCTTGATTTGATTAAGGCATAAATATTCCTCTCTAGAGTTCAGCCTTTCAGGGCTTTAAGTGGATTGGGCTCGTCAATTAGTGGGCGCTTAAAGTACTGAATCATTTTGTAAATTAAAATGCATGTTTTTCTCTATCTTTTAAGACTTTGGCCTTCCCAAGTGATCACGCTACGTGGCAGGGGAATTATAGTTTTGGTACTCAGGTAGGCTAGGGTTCAAGGTACGAATGATCCTTAGATGGTGAGGGTGGGGGGGACCCTTTGGCAACTGAGGAGCAATTTGGATTCTCCAGAAGATAACATCTGTGGAGCAAAATGTACCCAGGGGGTACTCCAAGGAGGTGGGCTCGGTACAAGCGTGGTACCCTGCGGTGGGGAAGATTTCAGCCTGGCAGGGGTTCTAAGATCCCATTTGTTCTGCTAAATCCTTGTTTTATGTATGTCTCCTCTTCCCTGCCCCTGCAGACTATATTGAACTCCATGCACAAATACCAGCCCCGGTTCCACATTGTAAGAGCCAATGACATCTTGAAACTGCCTTATAGTACATTTCGGACATACTTATTCCCCGAAACTGAATTCATCGCTGTGACTGCATACCAGAATGATAAGGTAAACCCAAGGGACTTTCCTTTTTAATGGTGATATTTTGCCTTCCCCTTAAAAGCTGCTTTAAGTCAGGATGAGAAAGTTACAAGAGAGTGGAGATGAGAGTCTTGAGTTTTCTTTTGTGAAGCATTTGGGTGGAAAGGACAATGACACCTCAAGGAGACAGAAAAACACCTTGACTAGGTAGGAACAATGCTGAGCAAAAAAAATGACATACTAATTTTGCCACAGAGAAGCTCCTGTAACTGCTGTCATTGATGCTACCCACTCCTCCATTCCTTGGGCTTTGTCCTGTTTATTTTAAGGTTCATCTTCCCCTTGAGGAAGAAGGATCAAGAAGTCATATTCAAAAGGAACCAGCTAAAAAATTAAGGCAAAAGCATTTGGGATCCTGGGAGGGGAATCCTGGTAGAGACCAGCTTTTCTGCCCTAGCCAGAAATCCTGAGTAGCTGGTCTGGTTTTTATTACCTTTTATGCTGCTGTGTTTTTTATGATGTGTGTGTATGTGTGTGTGTGTGTGTGCGTGCGCCCATGTGTGTGCGCATGTGTGTGCATGCATGCGTGTGGTTGGAAAAACCTACCCTGATCACAGGGTCATACCAATGGAGTTGTCTGAGGCTTTTGAGTTGAGGTGGCCAAAGTCACCACTTCATTTGAATTTGTCCCCCCCGGCCCTGAATCTGGAGATTAGAAGGATCCCCAAAAGGGAAAGCACCTGATATCTAGAGCTATGGTGGCCTGAAGGTCATGGGCACAGAAAAAGTGACCCTTAGTGCCGATTCATCAGTTCCCAGATTGACTGTTAGCAGTTATAGGGGTGGGAGGAGGGACTGAAGACCCCCACTCTGCAATCCTGGACTTCAGAGAGAGTCCATTTTACCTGACAACACACTTCATTTTGAACTCACTGTCATTGTCACTGTCCTTGGGTCCTCTGTGGACTTCATGGTGGGGATGTTCCAGCTAAATTTCTTTAGTCTGAATACCAGAACATCATGATCATCTCTCCCTGTGAAACCTGAAGTCTTGGATAGAGCAATTTATTCCAAGAACATGAATCCAACCAAGGGTCCCCGTTTCCACCTCTGAGTAACTCTGTGTATATAACTTCTCCCCACCAAGGGGAAGGGATTTGAAAGATTACACACTATGGCATTTTTCTCAGAGTGCAAAATGCATGTACCCTCTAGACCCAGAATCCTGTGAAATGAAGTTGTTAATGTAATAATAAAATGTAGCATTTTTGATCAGACAAAAAGGCCATGGGCCTTCTCCACCTAATGGCCATGGCAGAGAATATAAATGAAAACAAATGTTTCCAGTGGGCATTCAGTACTATAATTGTCAATATTGTAATTTCCTCAAACCACCCCCCAAGCAAAAAAAAAAAAATCAAACTCACTGCTGCACTCACTCCCGCACAAGGGTAGTGAAACCCCATAAATCATTTATTGGATTCATGGGAAAGGGGTGTGTGTGTGTGTGTGTGTGTTTGTGTGTGTGTCAAGGGAGTATGCTATAATTTATGATTGATTGCACTGTATAAAAATCAAAATGAAAGCATAATTTTAAGATCTACAGGTTTTCCCTTTTGATGACTTTGACAACACTTCCATGTCTAAACTCAAACTGTTGGCTGCCCAAAGAAAAGAATTTCTTTGAATAATTTCATCCCCAAATCCCTGGTTTGGCCTCATATAGGAGATACAAGCCCTGCTACAGTTTCCTTTGATTTTTCTCTTAGTTCTCTCCAAACTTCTGCCATTATCTCCTTTTCCTGGCATATCTATATGACTTCTGTTGGCAATCACATCTCTAGACTTGTTGAGTTGGGAAAAACACCCTCAAAACATTCTAGAAAATGAGGCCAATGTCTCTGTCTTGCTTGTGTCTCTTCCAATAGATAACTCAGTTAAAAATAGACAACAACCCTTTTGCAAAAGGTTTCCGGGACACTGGAAATGGCCGAAGAGAAAAAAGGTGAGTTGAAACAATCATTTATTAGATAGTTTAGAAAAATCACTTTTTTTTAGGATCCCACTCTGAAGTATTAGAAGTGAGATGCAGGCACTTGTCCTGAGAAAAGCGGGTGGAAATCATTCACTTTCCCCACTGCTACATGCTTGCTGCTGTCAGTATACCCAGGACAAGTACTTTTCCTGCCTCCTTACCTTTAAGGAAATTAACTAGGCTACACCTTACATACTTATCTCTGGAAGAGAAGCATCAGGGATAATAGATTATACAGGGACGCCTATTAATTCCTAATTAATTTAAGTTCATCCTAGGCAGGTCCCAGAAAGAACCATGCCATTGACAACATGCTTGGGAATTTTTGCAATCCTGTCTTCCAAATACCATCAGACAGAGCGGGGGCCTTTGGAAAGATGTATGGCTCCCTCCCTCCTTCGTGGGGACAATGTATCATTTTGCATTAAGTAGACAGCTGGAGAGTATATGAAAGAGGGTCTCCCCTCCCCCACCCCCTTTCAAAGAATTTCTAAAATCCAGAAAATCACCCCCACATTTTTAATAATTCATGGAATTATTAAATGCCCTTGGGATGGGCATTAAAAAAATAATTGGTAACAGCTAAATATATTTTTATTCCAATTAATTTATTAGTAAAACGATTACAGTAAAGTGCAGCATAAAATAACCACTGCCTCCCAAATCTTAGCAACCATCCAAAATTTGGGTATGCTGGGGACAGACAGCATTGTGTTTGCAGGATTGGACACCCAGTTCTCCCTATATAAGACCAGCATTCCAGCTGTCTCCGACTAGATCCAGCCTCTCCTCTTGCTTTTAAATAAAATTTCACAGCCCAAGCAAATGCTTTTTCCTAATGAAACCCCCATCTTGAATAAATGCAACTGAAGCCTCCTTGCTTTCTCCCTAACCCTGTGCCACACTCTTCAGCCCAGTCACAGGGTCAAGAACAATGCTTGGGTCTATGTTGCTGCCCTGGGGCAAGCACGTTTCAGCGAATTGTGTTGTCCCTGGGCTGCAAGCAGGGTGTGAGGCATGTGTGTGCCGCTTTGGAAAGGGTAAGGGAAACAAAGAGGGGAAATGTATGTTACATTCTGTAACGTGGGTGTGGGCTTCTGCCACAGAAAACAGCTCACCCTGCAGTCCATGAGGGTGTTTGATGAAAGACACAAAAAGGAGAACGGGACCTCTGACGAGTCCTCCAGCGAACAAGCAGCTTTCAACTGCTTCGCCCAGGCTTCTTCTCCAGCCGTCTCCACTGTAGGGACATCGAACCTCAAAGGTAAGCCATGCCACCTTTGTGATCACTGGACTCCAGTTCCTCGGGACCTGGAAGAGTTGAAGGGGGATGGGGCACCAACCGGGCACTTGCCTTTTAAAAGCTAGAACCCTTCTAAACATCCTTAAACAGAAGCCAGAGTTCAAAAAGAGCTATCAGGTGTGTCTCCCCTTCCCCCCTAAGGCAGTAGAAGGAGAGCACCGAGGCCTTTCCCCTAGATCCTTATTTGGCTGGTCGGGAGAGGAGGTGGGTGTCTGTTTGCATACTACCTCTTGGCAAGCAGCTTTGAAAACCTGCTTGAAGCGCTTCTCTCTTTTCTCTCTGTCTGTTTCTTTCTCCTCCCATTCTCTCTAACCAAGAGAGGCTCCAACTGCTGACTTTTCACTGTCTTTGAACTCAAGGTTACCATGTGTTGGACTGGGTGGGGGGGAAGCAAGGGATTCCCTGCTACCTGGAACCGGGAAGGTGGCCTAGAAAACATCCAGCTAGAGAGCAACAATTGACCTGGGAGAGGAGGTGGAGCCCTGGGGATCTGCGGTGGAGGTAGAGCTAGGGGAGGGGGTGAGGAGTGGACGTGATGGCTCAAATCCCCCCTCAGTTTCCTGTGTTTAAAGAGCAAGGACTATTTATTTGGAAAGACACACACACACACACACTCTCTCTCTCTCTGGACGGGAAGAAACCTGTTTTTTAGTGAAATAAAATGCAAGTCCTTTATGTCTTCAATCCATTTAAGCTGTAAACATAAAATAGGATCCCTTTTTCTTTTCTTCTGGTGGAACACCCACAGAGGGTGTGGTGAAAGCACAAAAGAATCTATGATTGTCTCCGGGCCGTGAGCCGGCTGCCCGACACTCATCTCTGTCTGCAGGGACTGGGGCAAATACAGAAGGTTCAACCGAGTGCTGGTGTTGAGGGACAGGTGTCCCTTCTGCCATTATCAATTCAGATGTCAGGGTTGCTGCCGAACAAATCCTTCCAGAGTAATTCACAAATCTGTGGAAGGTGCTGCTCTCTGTCATTCACTGACCAAAAACTCTTAATTAGAATATGTTCCAGCTATGAGTTTTAATGTTAGTTTTTACTTTTAAAAAGTTAATTTGCAATTGAATGGGGAAATGTATATGAAATCTTGCACCGCAGGAACTCAACAAAAGAAGTAAAATTCATTATAATAAGAAGGGCTACTGATTTGGGGGTTTGTCCATCTAAGGGAAAGTTTAAACTCTGGGTAAATACTTTAAATTCATTAATCGCTTATTGAATTTTCCAGCAATGTTGTTGGGCACGATTATCCCCATTTTGCAGATGAGAACACTGAGGTGCAGACAGGCTAGGGGGCTTTCCCCGGGATTACACAGCCGCTAAGCCACGAGCTGGGATTCCAACTTGGGAACTGGAGTTCTATTGGCTCAGATTGGAGCTAACGCCCTTCTGCCTTGTTTTTTTCTTCTCCTATGGTAGATTTATGTCCCAGCGAGGGTGAGAGCGACGCCGAGGCCGAGAGCAAAGAGGAGCACGGCCCCGAGGCCTGCGACGCGGCCAAGATTTCCACCACCACGTCGGAGGAGCCCTGCCGTGACAAGGGCAGCCCCGCTGTCAAGGCGCACCTTTTCGCCGCCGAGCGGCCCCGGGACAGCGGGCGGCTGGACAAAGCGTCGCCCGACTCGCGCCATAGCCCCGCCACCATCTCGTCCAGCACTCGCGGCCTGGGCGCGGAGGAGCGCAGGAGTCCGGGTCGCGAGGGCGCAGCACCGGCCAAGGTGGAGGAGGCGCGCGCGCTCCCGGGCAAAGAGGCCTTCGCGCCGCTCACAGTGCAGTCCGACGCGGCCGCCGCGCACCTGGCCCAGGGTCCCCTGCCCGGCCTCGGCTTCGCTCCGGGCCTGGCGGGCCAACAGTTCTTCAACGGGCACCCGCTCTTCCTGCACCCCAGCCAGTTTGCCATGGGGGGCGCCTTCTCCAGCATGGCAGCCGCCGGCATGGGGCCCCTCCTGGCCACCGTGTCTGGGGCCTCCACTGGCGTCTCGGGCCTGGATTCCACGGCCATGGCCTCTGCCGCCGCGGCGCAGGGACTGTCCGGGGCGTCCGCGGCCACCCTGCCCTTCCACCTCCAGCAGCACGTCCTGGCCTCTCAGGTATGGATCCTTCTTCCTGCCTCCTCCAGTCTTTCCACCTTTCCTCCACTTTCCCTGTCCTTTGCCAGCAGACCTGCACCGACCCCTTTGGCCTAGTAGCTGTAATAATTTTTACTGAGCCATTACCAGGTTCAAGGCTTAGCTCATTGAGTTATCATGACTTCATTCTCCCCATTCACCCCAGAAAAACTTTAAAATTTTTCCTACGTTAAAGGCCGTTTCCAGCAGAGTAGATAGGTAGTAATAAAGATAACAGCTAGACACAGCACTTACTTTCAGGCATTCTTCTAAGTGCTTGCACTGTATTGACTCATTTGACCTAACCCTTCAGGGGTACTATTATCACCTCCATTTTACAGATGAAGGGGAAGACGCCCAGAGATGCTGAGTCACTTGTCCAAGGTCACACAGCCAGTACATGGTGGAGCTGAGACTCAACCCCAGGCTGTCTGACTCCAGGGCCTCTTTGAGGGTTTCTGATTTTAGCTTCAGAGCTGACACGTCTCTTAAGTGTCTCATAGTCAACCCTCCCCCGGGAATGGGACTCTAGGCCTGGGGAGGAGAAGTGAGTACTTCCTGAGTAGGAGTTCAGTCTCGATTCCTCCAGCCTTTCCTCCCATTCCAAGCTCTTCTCCCCACCCCCAAACCCAAGCAGGCCAGCCTATTCCTCAAAGGGTTAATGGTTGTGCACACGTGGGAAATGTCAGAGGACAGGGATAAGCAGGGACTGGGGCAGGCCTAGAGGCCTGTGTGTGGCTCAGACAGCTGTGCTAGGGGGAAGTCTCAGGCGGCTGGAAACACCCTGAACTCGATGAAAAGGTTCTATGAGGTTTTGCATGCTGTTGCCTTTTGTTTTGTCTGAGCACATTCGTCTCCCTTCCCTGAGCCAAGAAGCCAGATTGGCCTCCCCTCCAGGGAGGAGGGAGCTGAGAAAAGGCTTGGCTTCTGGCGTTTCTCAGTTCCTCCCATTTCCTCTGCTGGCTTCTCCTGGAGACCCTGTCCTAGGTGGACAGGTGGTTGGTAGATCAGGGGCTGCCTGGACAGACAAAACCTTAAGGGCACCTCAAGGCATGGTGCAGAGAACTGGCCCAGGCCAGGGTCCCTGCATCTTAGATGCTGCTTCTGCCAATTCCCAGCTTAGTGCACTCCTGAACTCCTGGGGCCTACCTCGGCTTCTCACCTGGAACACCAGTAAATCATGCTGGACAATTTCTTTGTCTCTGTTTATAGCAAATGCCCTTTTATTTCCCTCCCCCATTTTCCTTTTGCTTAAGATCTTCACTTTTTTTTTTTTTTGGAGAAACTTCTAGGATTGGGGTAGGAGGATGGGGGTTGGGGAAGAAGAAAGATTTTAAAAATTATTCTTAATAATTTATGTCCTCTGGCTTCCCCTTGCTTACCTTTGTGGGGTAAACTGAATCTGTATCCCCATTTAACAGGTGCAAGGAATAACCCTTAAGGGGAGATTTCCTGGGGGCCGCACACACTGTGTGCAGCATATTGCAGGCTTTCACTCATTTACTATCTACAAAGTCCTCAATAAGCATATGAATTACTTATGATTTCCCTGTTTTTTCTTCCTATAAGGAAGCTGAGGCACAAGAAGTGAATCAAAGTCTCTTGGCCTAGGGTGACACAGCTAAGATTTGTACCTAGAGATTTCTGAGTGCTGACTTATCTCCTGCCCCCACCCATCTCTTCCCCCCAAAAAACACCACCACCACCACAACAAAACATATCAGGGATTCATGGCTTGCCCAATGTTGGAGGGGCAGAAGAGAGGAGATGGATGAGGTAGGCTCCTCCCACCTGGCTGACTCGCTGTGTGTCTCTTTTCTCACCCCAGGGCCTGGCCATGTCCCCTTTCGGAAGCCTGTTCCCTTACCCCTACACGTACATGGCCGCAGCGGCGGCCGCCTCCTCTGCGGCAGCCTCCAGCTCGGTGCACCGCCACCCCTTCCTCAATCTGAACACCATGCGCCCACGGCTGCGCTACAGCCCCTACTCCATCCCGGTGCCGGTCCCGGACGGCAGCAGCCTGCTCACCACCGCCCTGCCCTCCATGGCGGCGGCTGCGGGGCCCCTGGACGGCAAAGTCGCTGCCCTGGCCGCCAGCCCGGCCTCGGTGGCGGTGGACTCGGGCTCTGAACTCAACAGCCGCTCCTCCACGCTCTCCTCCAGCTCCGTGTCCTTGTCGCCCAAACTCTGCGCGGAGAAAGAGGCGGCCACCAGCGAACTGCAGAGCATCCAGCGGTTGGTCAGCGGCTTGGAAGCCAAGCCAGACAGGTCCCGCAGCGCGTCCCCGTAGACCCCTCCCAGACACGTCTCTTCATTCCAGTCCAGTCCAGGCTGCCGTGCACTTTGTCGGATGTAAAATATACCACGGGCCCGCCATGGCGTTAGCCCTTCCTTTTGCAGTTGCGTCTGGGAAGGGGCCCCGGACTCCCTCGAGAGAATGTGCTAGAGACAGCCCCTGTCTTCTTGGCATGGTTTATATATCCGGGATCTGGATCAGATTCTGGGGGCTCAGAAGCGTCGGTTGCATTGAGCTGTTGAGGGTGGGAGTTCCAACATTTATGTCCAGAGCAACTTCCAGCAAGGCTGGTCTGGGTCTCTGCCCACCCGGCGGGGAGGTGTTCAAAGACATCTCCTCAGTGCGGATTTATATATTTTTCCCTTCACTGTGTCAAGTGGAAACAAAAATAAAATATTTCAAAAAAAAAATCGGGACAAGTGAATACATTAACATGATTCTGTTTGTGCAGATTAAAAACTTTATAGGGACTTGCATTATCGGTTCTCAATAAATTACTGAGCAGCTTTGTTTGGGGAGGGAAGTCCCTACCATCCTTGTTTAGTCTATATTAAGAAAATCTGTGTCTTTTTAATATTCTTGTGATGTTTTCAGAGCCGCTATAGGTCTCTTCTTGCATGTCCACAGTAATGTATTTGTGGTTTTTATTTTGAACGCTTGCTTTTAGAGAGAAAACAATATAGCCCCCTACCCTTTTCCCAATCCTTTGCCCTCAGATCAGTGACCCAGGGGAGGGGGGGATTTAAAGGGAAGGAGTGGGCAAAACACATAAAATGAATTTATTTTATCTAAGCTCTGTAGCAGGATTCATGTTCTTTGACAGTTCTTTCTCTTTCCTGTATATGCAATAACAAGGTTTTAAAAAAATAAAGAAGAAGTGAGACTATTAGACAAAGTATTTATGTAATTATTTGATAACTCTTGTAAATAGGTGGAATATGAATGCTTGGAAAATTAAACTTTAATTTATTGACATTGTACATAGCTCTGTGTAAATAGAATTGCAACTGTCAGGTTTTGTGTTCTTGTTTTTCTTTAGTTAGGTTTATTTCCAGGTCACAGAATTGCTGTTAACACTAGAAAACACACTTCCTGCACCAACACCAATACCCTTTCAAAAGAGTTGTCTGCAACATTTTTGTTTTCTTTTTTAATGTCCGAAAGTGGGGGAAAGTGCTATTTCCTATTTTAGCCAAAATTGGGGAAGGAGTGCTACTTTCCAGCTCCGCTTCAAATTCCTTAAAATATAACTGAGATTGCTGTGGGGAGGGAGGAGGGCAGAGGCTGTGGTTTGACTTGCTAATTTTTCTTTTGTTATTTGTATGTGCTAGTCTCTGATTTCCTCACAACGAAGTGGAATTTACTACTGTTGTCAATATCGATGGTGTTTTGAATGGTGCCTATAGAGATATATTCACAGTTCAAAAGTCAGGTGCTGAGAGATGGTTTAAAGACAAATTCATGAAGGTATATTTTGTGTTATAGTTGTTGATGAGTTCTTTGGTTTTCTGTATTTTTTTTCCCCCTCTCTTTAAAACGTCACTGAAATTTCAATAAATTTTTATTGAAATGTCTTTAGGCCTTGTGTTAAATGCTTTTCTTTGGGAACCTTTCCTGAAGGTGGACAGTCAGGGGAGACTTTACTCTCTTCTTGTTCTGAGTTTACCCCCTTCCCTTCGCCTTTAAATAATTAAGACCGCCCCCAGCGAACCAAAATGAGATGTCACTCAAGTTACAAAGCTAAAAACAAAAGTCCCTTACTTGAGCGAAGGGAGCCACTTCAATCTGAAATTACTTTTCCTTTAAATTAGGGAGCAAAGCGGGGAGACGGAAAGGGGCCTGATGAGAATACAGAAAGAAGAGTGATTTCAGATACTTTCAAATTTTAATGGAAAAAGACTGACGTGCTCCCTAAGTTAGGTTTTCCCACCCAAATCCGACCAGAAATAAGCTCGGCAGTACGAATGTTTTTCGTTTTAAGCTCGCCCTCCCTTTTGACATCAATCTGGCGAATCCAAGTCAAAAATATCTTCTTGCACCAGTGTGTTTGGCTCGGGGAAAAGGCCAGCAGAATCCCCCAGCAGTCCGAGCGGGCTTGGCTAGGCAGCAACCCTCCAGGTTGTAGAAGTGGACAAGACGCAACGCCTTTCCACTCCGCAACCCCCCACACGCCCTGCAGTCCCTGGTGCCTCAAATTGAACCCGGCTGGCCCAAGGCGCCCCTACGAGGCCCCATCCATCCCGAGTTGTGCGTGCGAAGCGCGGCCAGCTCCGCGAAAACTTAGCTGTGTCACGCGAGGGAGGAGGGAAATTATTCCTGAAAGGGGAAAGGTAATTCCAGGGTGCACATTTCACCCCCTCCAAGGCAAAAGTCACCCAGGAGGCTGACATCCTCCCCTAGTCTCCCCTTCAAACCAGTCTCCAGGCTGTTCGGGGAGTTGCCTTTTGAAGTTCAATTTATCTTTGAAACATTCAATAACAAATGATGAGGCACTGTCAGTCTTTTGGTCTCCCGACCCCCAGCCTCGCCTCCGAGGTGTGTGTCTGTTGGGGGGCGGGGGCGGCACTGGAAGGTTCGAGGGTTAGTCCATAGCCCTTTTCTTGCCCTGGGGGCCATGACGTGAAGACCCAGCTGGAGCCTGCCTGGCGGCTGCCTCCTTCCCCACCCCCCAACCCCCACCCCCTGGAGCCCGCCAGCCCGGCCCCACGTCCCTGTCACCTTCAGGCCTCTTGAATGACCGGAGAGGAGGACACCCCCTCCCTTCCCTCATCCTGTACTTGGAAGGGATCGAGGTCGAGACCTTTTGGAGAGCGGGGCAAAGCCCCTTCCATCTCTGGCCAGGCACGTGGGGACCCCTACGGCCTCCTCTGCGATATCTCCCGGGGGTGGGAGGGAAGACAGACAACCAGAGTGTGTTGGTGCGGAGTTGGGGGGCGGCGGGGTGCGCTGCGGGGGTGGCAGGGCCAGAGCCGAGATGGGGCCTGGGGACCTTTGAGGCGGGGGCTCCCCCGAGGACTGGGAGATGTTCAGGGCGCGCACCTTCCGCGCAGCGGCTACAGCCTGAAGGGGCCAGCTCTGGATCCAGCGACAAGGCGCGGTGTCCGCGCCTCTGAGAAGGTGGTGGTTGGCTGGTGGCGCCCAGCGGCGCTCTCTCGAATTGGGGAAAAAAGAACTCAGCCTCAAAGAGGGAAGAAATGCTTTTCTTTTCTCTTCTTTCTCAGTCCAAATTTGCTTACCTCCTCCCCTCTCTCCCCCCGCCCCCGATTTGGGGACCCTGCTCAGATGTGTGTCCAGTCTCTCTTACTGGCGTTCTTTTTTTTTTTTTTTTAAATCTCCTGTGTATCTCATTTGTATATTGTGATGTTAATGAGTAACTCCTGTGGCGCTGATGGACAGGGGTGGAGGGGATGAACGGCTCGCAGTCTCTCTGGATTTTGCTGCCTATTACTCACCTGGCGCCGGTCGCAATCTCGCCGCAGGCTTTATGGTGGCTGCGGCCGCCCCAGAGGCCACTCAGGGCAGGCGCCTTCGCCTTTTTTCTAGGCTTCGAGTGCCACCTATCTGTCTTGTCTACGAATGCGTCCAGGTCGCCGCAGTGGGCTTGGCACCCCAGCGCCTCTCGGGTTCCGGAACTTGGGCACTTCGCCTTTGCTCCTTCTCATTCCCCCCAACTCCTAGCCCCACTCCCCTCCTCCTCCGTCCCCAGCCCCATTTTCAGCCTCGGAAGAAGCCGCCTTCCCCTCTTTCCTGGATATCACTTTCACTCCTGTTTGTGCCTCAGATGAGAAAAACAGTCCTGCCCTCCTCTGGGTTTCCAAAGAATGTTAGAAAATTCAGTGCGGGAACCCTGGCTCATAATTCTCTGGACAAGTTCCTTGCTGCTTCTTGTAGATATCTCTAGACCCTTGTTCTGGACCCCGCCTGGCAGGAGATAACCTGAATTCACGATGGGTGGATAGAGAAAGGATACCTCCTTCCCCAACATACACACCTCAAATTCTGCCCTGGGGACAACTTCCTTGTACCAGGGCTCTCTTTTTTACTCTACAACTTTGGAAGTTTTTGTTTTTTAGCCTGGCCGAGTCTACAAGGACAAAGGCCATGACTCGCGGGAGCAGCAGTCCCTACGAGGGTCAGCCTGCAGGGCCCAGCGCCTTCGTGATTTGTAGATTTAAGGTGACAAATGCGGGTGCCGGTCAGAGGCCTCCAACCCCTGCCTGTCGGGAAGGTCGGCTCCAGTCGGGGCTGCGCCCTGGCGTCTGAGACCGGCGGAGGGGAGGGGATGGGGTCGCCTTTTGCTGTGCTTTGAGCCGCGGGTGAAGGCGTCCGGGTTCCTGCTGACCTCCCGGCGCTAATTGCAGGGGCCGAAGGGCGCGCTCGGGCAGAGGCAGGGGTCACGACCTTGAGGCTCCCTCCTCCCGAGGTCCCGGCAACCCGAAGGAGCCGGGTGTGTGCAAGAGGGAGTGTGTGTGTGTGTGTGTGCGCGCGCGCGCGCGCGCGCGCGATTAGGGCCTCTCTCTATATCTGCGCTGTTCTGGGACCCACCCTTTCTTGGCGGGGACAGTTCCCGACGTGTAGGTCCTTAAAAAAAAATTCCATCCAAGAAGGAAAACCCAGGTTCTGACCTTTCCCCTAAGCCAGCAGACAGATAGCCGCCTTCAGGCTGCTATGAGAGGCTTGCAACGCTTCACGACAGCGCGCTTTCTGCCTCGCTGGTTTCCAATGTAACCTCACGGCAACCAGCCAAGAGAGTGGCTGTTGGGGTGCAGCTGCGAGGCCGCCAGCGGCGACCTGGGCTCTTCTGTAGGTAGCCCAGTATGGACTCCTATCTATGGGTAGCTCTTGGGTGTCTGTGTTCTGGGACCAGGAACTGCAGGTGTTAGAAGGATATGTGTGTGTTTGCGTGTAGCTGTGCGTGCTCCATCTGTAGCTGTCTCTTCCAATTTGGGTTTAGAAGTTCATGCGCAAGACAGTTCCGGATGTAGATGCATTTGGTTGTTTTATAATCAAGATGCGTATAATCAAGAAGTATATGTTGCAGATGTCGGCGTTCAAAGTACACGAAACAAGAATAATATAAATACTTGGCATACAAGGGGCACGTGCACAAGCCAGGCACTCAGTGAAGCACCCCATAAAAGTGACCCCCTTTAGCCTTCACAGTTAACCCTATAAAGTATATATGATCTTTATCTCTGTTTTATAAGAGAGGAAACTAAGGCATAGACCGTTAAATCACTTACCCAAGATCCACTGGGGAAATTATGGAGCCAAGATTCAAACCGAAGTGGGCTCCAGGATCCACTGTAATTCCCTTTCCTAATTCAGGTGGAGGTGTAAGTACCTGCGGTGCATATGTCCCGGATTTACAGAAATCTGAGGGGATGTTCTGGATTTTGGAGTGCGTCGCGAGCTTTTTTTTTTTTTTTTTTTTTTTTTTTTTTTTTTTTTTTAATACGAGAACGTTTAAATTTCTTTGTACATCTGTCGTGCAATGTACAAGGACAGCTTTTATTTCAGCGTCCCACTCCCCGGCCAACCCTCTTCTGTGTCCCGGGACACCCGTCCCAGCTAAGACCGCGGTTTTGGGGCCTTTGTTCCCAGGTAGAGGAAGAGAGAGGTTGAATGGGGAACGCAATACTCTATTTAAAAATGCCTGCGGCGGGGCACTGAAGCTGATCGCGTTCTGTTCCTGATCTGAGCCGCGAGGGAAACCGCGGGGGAGAGGAAATTACAACAGAGCTGGCGTGCGCCGGGGCCGCAGGACGACCACCACGCTGACGCCGGGGTTTCCCTCTCCCGCGGGGTCTGGAAGCAAGACTTGGGCTTTGGGTGTCTGAGGCTTTCTCCACTCGCCTCAGATCCTCTCCCGCGTCCCTAGCTGTGTTCTGTCTACCCAGGAGCGAAGGCCGAGCGCAGTCCGGGGACTGCAGGTGGAGACGCCGCAGGCACAGAGATCTTCCTCTTTCTGTGTTCAACCCTGCCCAGCTTCCAGTAACCTACAAAATTTTAGTTTTTTCTGCCCTCTCACTTCCAACGTTTTGGTCCCAGCTAGAAGCCCAGGGGTTCAGCTGGTGGAAAGAAGGATTCTACCGAGAAACCGGCGAGGGTGTGCCAATATGGTGCAGCCCTGCGAAGGAAAAGCGCCGCCTGGTTACCGGGCGATGCGGCCCAGGTTCCCGCAGCCTGGACAACTGCAGGCCCCACGGCCCTAGACAGCCAGAGCTTGGGTCTGGCTGCACATTGGGTAAGGGTGGAAATAAGTGGCTTGAGTAGGGAATAGCACCTGCCCCCAAAACGTAAGGCTCTTCTATGCCGCGGCTGGGGTGAATTCTGACTGCCTTTGGGTCCTGGGTCTCCCCAAAGCGGGGAATAAGACTCAGGCGCAGTCTCTGGAATGGGGAGCAAAAGAGAGGAAGGTTTTGGTGCGGGTGGAACCCAACCAGTTGGAATCTGGACGGGTACTGTCCGGGCGGTCCGGCTCTTCCCCTCACTACCCCCACTCCCACCATGGCCCCCCCATTCCAGCGCTCCCAGTCAGCCTGTCTCTTTGAGCTTTTGAAATGCGATCCCC